TTCTAAATCTTATTGTGTTGCTTATTATACACTATATTAGTAGAACACTAAATTGTCTTCCAATAATCTACAGAAACTTAAAATTTCCTATAGAGGTTTACTGCCTCTAGCAAACATTTGCATGGCCAAAAGCTAAGCAACAACACAACTTTGAGGGCATTTTTTAACATTCAGTTTCAGTTTCTCAGAATACATCTTAATTACTTTAAGTTTGAACACTGGATCATAACCCACCAGGTTAACTATGTCCAATTTCTGAGGCACTGAAGATGGTAGGAATTTATTTTGTTATAAATCTATGATAGTTTACAAATTTATGATAGTTTACAATATTTCTTTCCTGAGTTAAAAGAAATTTTACTTATTTTTAAAGATCAGCTTTGAGATTAGCAATTAGATATCAAAATTATTCTAAAAGTATACTTAAAACATACTTGTTTTTGTACACCAGATTTGACTATACTCACTTTTAAAGTCAGCAAACAGTGTCCCAAAAAACTAACCCAATTTCGATCAATTTGGTTAAAAATTATGTATTTACTTTTGGCAAATTTCTCTAAGATTAGTTCACCACATACATTATATGACTATATGGATTTTAATAGATTTTTGTTTAAAGCATTTACTATTTTGCAAATTCAGAGAGAAAACTTCAAGCCTGTTAAAGTTTTTCAATGCAATTTTGGAGTCTTTATTGATCTCTTTATTGTATCATTGAACTTAACTGTATCAAGGGTTTATTTCCTCTATAGTCATCTTAGATTTGTATAAGTAGAAGCTAGAAGACTTATATTACAAATAGGTAATTTTTTCATAATAACTGTTTTATAGTTGGGTATATTGTGATAGTCTGAAAATCTTGAGGGGATGAAGTTTAGCTACTTCTCTAACACTACCTCCCATGTATAATGAAAGTAAGTTTTAGACAAAAAAACTGCAATATATACATTTATTAAACTAACAACTATTAGTAAGCAAGCAAAAAATAGTTTATACACCATGTTTCATAAGCTTGATGAAGTTTCAGCTTTCTATTCTTTCTGGAGCTCTACTATCTTTGTAGAGTATCTTCTGTCTTACATGAAAGATCACTTTAGGAATACACAACATTTCAGAGGGAATGTTACCTTGACAGTAACATTAGGTCAACACAAATCCTACTAAACAAATGCTTGGATAAAGGGCTATTTGGAGATTAAATCTCAAACACCATTCTTAAGGGGAAAGCTGACAGACTTTGTTGGATTCTTATATTCTGTTCATAGAAGTGTAGGAGATTATTTCCAAAATAGTTTAAGCCAATTCACTTTACTTGAATAGCTTCTGATTTAACTAGTGAAAGCTAATATCTAACAGTTATTCCACTAATAAGAAAGCCATTATTTTTATCACTAGAAACATATTTTTGACATGTAGCATTCAAATTAACAAAGCTTATTTACATAAAGTGAGATGTGAATAAGAGATGTGAATAAGAGAATGTGGATTATTATCAAGCACGATGTGAATAAGATATACACATATATATAAAATATGTGTATCACACTGTATGGTCTATGGTGAGATATGTATGTAAATCACAGATATCACAAAAGCTTGAATTAGGAGGAAGCAAATAAAACTGGAGGTATGTGTTCAAAATTTCTTATATGTTAAATGATAATATTTTGGCTATATTAGGTTGAATAAATACTTTTTAAAAGTGGCTACTAGAAAATTAAAACTTACATACAGGGCTTGCATTTGTGGATCATGTGATACTTTTTATTAGGCAGCTCTATTCTCTATTCATACAAAATAGATGACCAGGTTCACCATCCTTGCCATTGTCTTTCAAGACCACTTCTGAGGGTAGGGTTGTGATACACCTTCTAACAATTTTTTATTTTTATCCCCTTACTGGCTATATCCATTCAGAATCCAAACTCAGACCTTTTCAAGATCCTTTTGGTGATTGTACAAAATTCCCCATTTACCCATCATTGTGCACTAAGACAGAGGCATTGATGCAACTGTGATGGGCAACATGTGAGTCTGCATTACCTGCTCTTGCAGCTCACTTGTGCTCTCTTGGCCTGCTCATCCTTGGTACTGGGTGTACCATTTTCATATTGTGACAGATTGTGCTAGGCCTGCCTGACTTTATGACTTGGTGGGTCCAACAGGATAGTTCCAGGTGCATGGTCACTTGGTGTCCATATGTTCTAGCATTCCCTTGTTACCAGGGCCCAGTGGCATGCCAGAGGCTGTTTTTCTAATAATGTGTAACTCTTCACTGCAGATGTCATCGCCTTGCTCCAAAACCCCAGGAGACTGCTTTGTGATTCTCTCACTGGGGCTTACCACTATATCCACACTGCATCTTTTTCCACTACTGATGTCTCCAGTACCACAGGGTCGGCTGGATAGTATGGTCCATGTGACCTCTTTCATTGCAGTCTAGACTTCTGCACAGGCCTTTCCTGCTAGAGCTCCACTCATACTAGTAGCCTTCCATGATAAACATATATGGACTGGAATACTATTTCTCTGTGTGGAAGGTATTACCTCCAGAAGACAAAAAGGCCTCCCAGGCATTGTAGTTCCTTCTTCATGATAGAAAATGTACGATGGAGGAATTCTGTTTTGTACTTTGGAGGGGATATCCTGGTACTACTGACCAGTAGACCCCTAAACATTTTATTGAAGTGGCAGAGACCTAAATCTTCATAGGGTTTATTGCTACAATCTATAATACCTGTGTCTCACCAAGGTCTCCAGCATGCTAATGACGTTTTGCTTGTCTTGATGGATCAGCATGATGTATTTGATGTAATAGATCAATATGGTGTTTTGTGTGATATCTACGGGATCCATATTTCTTTGGATAAAATTGTGACAAAGACCAAGATAGGCCAAACTGTAAATTAAGATTCTTGTATATTATCTATGTATACAAACTATTTCTAATCCTCTTTCCTGATTTTGATGGAAAGTTGCATTCATTATATCCGGGGCCACATGCTATGTACCTCAGGTTATATTAATCTGCTGTAGCATTGTTACTGTGTGTGCTTGGCAGTTGTAATCAGGGATAACTTTTACTTGATTGAGCTTGTGGTAAGTAGTACAAAGTCAATTTTCATGATCCATCTGGTTTAGTGGGTGGTTTCAGCAGGGTGCAAACGTGAATTAAATGAGAATATGACTGTTACCCTGAATCCTTTAGACTTTTTAAGGTAGCACAAATCTCTGCCATCTTTCTGGATGTGGTATTGCTTTTGATTTACTCTTTAGCTTCAAGTGTGTGAGTGGACAGTTTCACTTAGCCTTATACACAATAACTCATTCAAAAGGCTAAGAGCCCAATGTGTCCTTATATTTCAATATAAACCACATATTAGGGGATTGGAGAGGAATGACCTCTGAGTGGGTCTGTGGACCCAGTCGACTCACTGTATATCAGACTTTGGTCAAGATCCTATTTATTATCTAGGTCCCAATGCCCCCACTCTACCAGAGGCATTAGTGTTATTTTTGGTCTCCAGGTATCAATATCACCTTGAACTCTGTGTCAAAAGTCTTCTAAATATTGGGGTATTCCCTTTGACTCAGTGTACAATAACACAAATAATGGCTACAGGTCCCCTTAGGGAAGAACTGGAAAAATTATTACAGTGTTTATATTTACTTACCCTGGTGTTACAAAGCCCTTTCCCCTGGGGACCTAGAGATGTTTTAGTCAACAGATCCTAGACTTAAAAACTAGCTCAGGTCTAGATATGGGACAAGGGATTATACATTTTCATTTTGGCAACTTCTCATCCATTCATGATTTCTTTGGATTATATACGTAGTTCCATTGTTGGCTTTCCATCTATTTTGCCCTTGGCTACTGTGCTCTATTAATAATCTTCTATTACTCTCTACAGGTGGGGCCTACTTAGCTGCCATGCAGATGTGTTGATCCTTACCATAATCACAACCCACTGGAATCTGTTGATTAAGGACAACACCTGACTACTATTATTTCAGGGTTGTATTAATCCCTTGACTATCAGTGAGTGAAACTGCAGACACACTTGCCTACCATTAGCCCTGGACTGTGGAGGAGAGCCATCAATGAACTTCTTAGTGATGCTGGTTCCCTTCTCACCAGTGAATTCATGGTGGTCTTGCTGAATGATATGATCTCTAAATCACAGTCGCCCTGTGGAGTGTAATCCTTTGGTGGGTCTTTGCCCTTATATGATGTGTCCACTTCGGAATGCTCACTTCTCTGAGCTTTTTATTGTCTGCCACAATAATTCTAGCACTTAAACTTCTCTGAAAATGAATTATTTCTTTTAACAGACTACGAAAAACCCTAGCAGGAAGTTTGCACCAACTCCTGGGATTATTATTAGGGTGTTTCATCCTCTAATCCGAAAGAGAACTACCAAGATCACAAATTGTTTCTTAGATAGTCTAATATGAACCCTTTAATTTGGTATTTTCAAAATCCAGTCCCATGAAACATGCTTTCTAGGACTTGCATCTACTTTGGAACATAGTCTTTTCCTCCTTCATCAGACCCTTGCACTTGCCTGTGTATATTATCTTATGCTTTTACTTAACTTTGATTATGGGCCTAGTAGCCAGAATAGGTAGGAACCTTTAGAGAAGTACATTTTGCCTTGTGAGGGAAAGTCTTCTGAATTGTCTTTTGTCATGGGGTAAAAGTTAGCTCTTAATGGGGATTGGTGGTCTAATTGTGCAGGTTGTGAATATTCAGAGAAGTCTTGGGAGTCAAATCTTAGGGGATAACCACCCAAACTTTCCCAAGTGTCAGATTCTCAGGCCTGTTTTGATTAAACATTCAGCAATCTTTGGAGCTCAGCCACTTTTATTCTCAAATTCTGGACTTGATTTTCAGTTTTTTCTGCTTGCACACTTCATGAGATGAGGGCTTCTTTGTAAGTATCAGAAAGCTTGCCTGTTGTCTTTTTATCGCTTTCAATTTTTTAATGTCAAGTCTGTAACTTAATAACAACCATTCAATCCTAATATACTTGTATTTATTATTTATTTCATATATTTCTAACTACTAGTTATGGCAACTTGATACTGAATTCCCTACCATAGGCAGGCCATCCCAGATAAAAATCAATAAAACTTCTAAGAAGTGCATGGCAATCTTGTGCAAGGGGTCAATTGAGCACGACATACCATCGGAGATGAGATTCTCATTATTGTCTGCAATGAGTGATCAAATCCACAAATTCCATTTACCACATGATGTTTTGGATTATTCTTAGTGCCAGTTGTCACAGTTTGGGTCCTGCCAGAAGCAGACTCTGTAATGGAGTTCGAAATGGAAAAAAAATTATTGAGGAGTAACGCCTGTGAAAGGAAAAGAGCGAAAGTAGCATTAGGCAAGGACACCATGAGTTGCAATACCTGAGAAAGTGTCCACCACTCCAAACTTTTGAATTTTGATTAAAACTACTTTATTTTTTCTTTTGTTACTTGTGCTTTTTCTGCTATATCTAAGATGTTTTCTAACCCAAGGTCATAAATATTTACTCCTATGATCTCTTCTGACATGTTTTATAATTTTAGCTCATATATTTAAGTATGCCATTATTTTGCATTAATTTTACATATGTAGGTTTCTGACCTGGTAAATAACTTTTTCCTTTAGTAGTGGACAAGCCTTTGGTGTTGAGAGGCATCAGATAAAGAAAACTTTTTTTCAATGTATTTTCTAAGTGGTGCAAAACTAGATCTGTCACACATGTCAAAATAAACCTTAAACTATTATTGTGCTTTTGATAAAATTCAAGTTACTATCTCATTTCTGAAGTTGTTATATGAATTATTAATGTAGTTAGTAGTAACTATGGTAAGAATTTCAGATATCCAAGAGAATTTTGTTAATTAATGTATTTCTTGCATAACTCATTTTTATTTTTCACCAGAAACAGAAAGTTTTGAAAAATATCAGTAAGAAAATGCCAGTTGTCCTGGAACCCAGCCTAAGAATATACATATGTAAAAGTGCCACAGTTTATGAAAATACAAAGTTTAGTTGATTTGCTTCTGTTGGATCTCATCAAAACACTTTCTCCTTGTTGAAGCATTTGGGCATAGAGGGCACATATTTTCATTTAAAATGTGTTTGAATGCACTTTGACCACAACTCACTGAAAAGTCAAAATTTAAACCACATGTTAATGAATAGAAATAGAGATCACAGGGCAGATATTGCTCATAAATCAAAATTTGTTGGACATTTTTACACCTTCTTTCCATTTGTTTGCTAAACAGGTCTTATGACTCCAAATTTGGTCTAATTGATTAATGTATTTTGTCAGATGAAATGACCCAAGGAAAAATAATATGTTTTGTGAACTAGGTGATGATGCTAGACCTATAATTTTTGTTGTTTCAGGGTTGTTTGTGTCTTGTGGGGAAATCCTAATTTTTTTTTCAGAGTTAGAATTACATAATTCTGATTACTGTCACCACTTCTATTCAACATAGTACTGGAAGTCCTAGCCAGAGCAATCAGGCAAGAGAAAGAAATAAAGGGCATCCAAATTAGATAAGAGAAGGTCAAACTACCCAAGTTCACTGATGATATGATCGTATATTTAGAAAATCCTAAAGACTTTTCCAAAAGACTCTAAGAATTGGCACATAAATTCAGTAAAGTCTCAGGTTACAAAGTTAATGTACACAAATCAGTGGCATTTCTATGTACTAATAACAGTCAAACTAAGAGTCAAATCAAGGCCTCAATACCATTTACAATAGCTGCAAAAATAATCTAGGAATATACATAACCAAGAAGGTTACAGATCTCTACAAGGAAAACTACAAAACACTGATGAAAGAAATCATATATAACACAAATGGAAAAATGCCCCATGCTCATGGATTGGAAGAATCAACATTGCTAAAATGTCCATACTTCCCAAAGTGATTTACAGATTCAATGCAATTCCCACCAAAATACCAATGTCATTTTTCACAGAACTAGAAAAAAAATTCTAAGTTTCATATGGGATAACAAAAGAGCCTGAATAGCCAAAGTCATCCTAAGCAAAAACAACAAATTTGGAGGCATCACATTATATGATTTCAAACTATACTATAAGACTATGGAAACCAAGACAGCATGGTAAAGGTAGATACATAGATCAATGGAACAGAATAGAGAACCCAGAAATAAAACCATATAGTTACAATCAACTGTTTTTTGACAAAGCAGACAAATACATACACTGGGGAAAGGATGCTCTATTCAATAAATAGTGCTGGGAAAATTGGAGAGCCATATGCAAAAAAATGAAACTAGATCACTATCTCTCACCATATACAAAAATTAATTCAAGACGGATAAAAGACTTCCATGTAAGGCATCAAACCATAAATATTCTAGAAGAAAATGTAAGAAAAATTCTTCTGGACATTGGCTCAGGCAAAAAATTTATGACTAAGACCCTGAAAACAAATACAGCAACAACAAAAATTTTTTAAATGGGACTTAATTAAACTAAAAAGTTTGTGCACAGCAAAGAAAACAATGAATAAAGTAAATAGACAACCTACAGAATGGGAAAAATATTCACAAACTATATATACGTCCTACAAAGGACTAATATCTAGAATTTACAAAGAAAACAAATCAGCAAGAAAAAACCAAATAATCCCACCAAAAATTGGGCAAAAGACATGAACAGATTATTTTTAAAAGAGGATTTACAAATGGCCAACAAACATATGAAAAATTGCTCAACATTACTGATCACTAGGGAAATGCAAATTAAAACCGTAATGAGATACCACCTTACCCCTATCAGAATAGCCATTATTAAAAAGAAAAAAACAACAGATATTGGCATGGATCTTGTGAGAAAAGAATGCTTACACACACATGTTGGGGAGAATGTAAATTAGGACAACTTTTATGGAAAACAGTATGGAGATTCCTCAAAGAACTAAAAATTGACCTACCATCTGATCTTGTAATTAGCAACTTAATCAGTTGCTGTTCATATGCTGTTCATATGAACAAGACACCTAAATTCTCTGAGTCTCAGTTTCCTCATCTATAAAACTGGGAAAATTCTACCCACCTGGCATGATTAAATGTGAGACAATATGTGAAATAGGGACTAAAAGTTCATCTCTTCTCTCCTTTCATTTAAGCAAAACAAAAAGCTACTGGTAAAATAAGCCCTGTTTAAAAACATTAGAATTTTTTTCACATTAAAACTTCCACAGTTTAGCAATTAAATTCTAATTTTCAATTAATATATATGTGTGTATATGTATATGTATATGTATGTATTTCTGATTTAAAAGTAGCATAGTTTGTTGTCTTCTTCTACAGAGTTAGGGTAGATAAATGATCAAGCAAATCATATGGTTGTGCATATTCTGTAGATAATTCCAAAGGTAGAGTTTCAAAAATGTTTTGAGCAACAGAAGCATCACTAGAATCCGCATCAAAATGGAGATTTTTCATTCATTCTTTATTTCCTCAACAAATAGTAATTGATTAACTTGTGTGATAAGTCAAAGACTAAGTGGTAAAGAAACCAAACATGTTCCTTGCTTTAATGGAATTTATTCTAATAGCGAGAAAAAGATTAACCAAATAATCACACAATTAAACATAGCATTACAGCTGTGAGGAGTGCCATGAATGACAGATATATACACGGTAATGTTTTGATTTGAACTAGTTTGGAAGGTGAGGAGAGTGAGGAGATAATGATGGAGCTGACAGGTGACAACTCAGTGGGGGTTATTTAGATGAACAGAGGTGGAAATAGAATTTTGGCAGGGAAACAGCATGCATAAACTCCTTAATGTGAAAGTCCATACAATACATAAATGAGACCTAAAATATACTAGTTTAGCTGGAATAGAGGGAGAAAGGAAAAGATGATGAAGCTTTAGAAATCATCATCCCCATAAGACATGACAAGAATGTTTATTCTTGGTATAACTGCAATGGAGAGCCATTGAAATAATTCAAGCAGGGGTAGGTAAAGTTGTACATGAGGTAGATGACAATGAAATTATCATTTTTTACAGGTCACTCTGGGTGGGCAAGAGTAGATTTATTTAAACCACTAAGCTATCTATTTCAGCAGAGCAGGGGTGGAGGTATCAGGGAAGATAAATTTAGTCAGTGGTGATGGTGATGGAGATGGACAAATATTCAGAGGATATTAATAAAATAATCAGATCTTGGTGATGAGTAGGGTAAAAGGTAGTAATGAATAAGAAGCACTTTTAGGTTTTTGAATGGAATAACATTTATTTGCTATATGATTTGTCATCTTTATTTTAAGCTAGTCTGATTTCTTGAGTTATGTCTTATACTATGGAGAAATTTATTAATTTGTCACATCATGAAATTGCTGTATTAATGTTTTTGATATTTGTTTTTTAGATAATATATTACTGTATTTTTCATTCCAGATTATTCATTGCCAGGTTCTGCCAGTATCAATCCATTTGAATTTGGCAGAACTAGATAATTACTAAAGCTATTTTACTTTTCATATTTTGTACAATTATTACTGTTTGGAAATATACTCTGCAAAACTGAAAGTTTACCTTTACTATGAAGTTAATTAAAAAATTAGGCATAATTACAAAAGCAAACATCTTCACGATGGCAGTACTTTTCTAGAAGCAGGAAAAAAGCAAACCCATTGCAAAAATGTTTATGTCATTTCTTATGCACAATTGATGATTTTATAATTTTAAGAGATTTTTCAGAACACAGTCCAAGAGCATTTGCTATGGTCTCTGTTAGCTCAGTATTGCTTTCAGAAGAAAACACAAAAGCTGATTAGGTGATGAGATTAAACAGCAGCAGATGGTATTCTGGAAAGAAAACCCTGATAGGAAGAATAAAACTTTAAAGAAATGATTTAAATTGTTAGTTGTTATAAATATACTCAACTAATCAGAATTGGATATATTGGTTATTGGCATTTTTTGATTGATCGATGAAGAAAAAATGTTTTTTAAACATTTGGTACTGTAAATCTTATTATTTTACACAAAGATTCATTTTCTTCTCTTAATGAACAAAGCACAATGATCACAAACTAAATTTTTCTTGATCCTCGAAAGTCCAGGGTCATTGCTAAATGATCAGTTGTCATTACATATTGTCATATTATTATGGACATGGAAGTCATAAAGGCTAGATGTAACATGTATTAACTTCAGGCTATACACCAAAATTATGTTAAAATATAAAGCACAGATCAGTTTTTCTTTCTGCATGTCTCCCTGACTTTAATAGAAAAGACAAAAAAAATATTGCTACTTGAAGATTCTGTTTGTTAAATGAAGCTTTTCTTATGTCTAATCTTGGAAAGGAAGAATCCTAATGCAGAGATCTAGCAACTCTCAATTGCTAAAATATTGATTCCATATTTTCATTTTTAGATTGAGATTTGTTATAATAATAATTTTGTTGAGATATGGCTCTAGTTTATAGTCAATGAATACTAGTTTAGAGCCCATCTCTAAAAATATTGAAATATTTGTTTATTTAAGTTGATACTGGGCCCAGTTCAGTTACCTTAAATCTAGTCAAATCACATACTTTTTTAAAAAGATCTTTATTTTGAATGTCTGTTTCTACAGTTCTTTAAAATTAAAAGGAACCTCCATGTTTGCTATAGCAGATGTTGCCCTTCCATACTGTTTTAAAGATGGCTCATAGACAAATAGTTTTATCTTTTAAACATCTTCAAATAGATATTAGAAATGCTTACTTTTTCATAGATATGAATTAATTCATGGATTCAAAATTTCTTAACTTATCCAATCAGTTAGCTACATATTCAACAAATATTTATTGAGTGCTTACCATGTACCAAACATTGTTCTAGGTTAGTTGTAATCTATCATGCTTAAATATTATATTTTAATATTAAATATGTGTTTAATTAATATACGCTATTTATATATTATATATTTATTAAATATTTAAAAATACCTGCTATTTAGTATTTTCTTATATTCACAAATATAAATATTTATACCCATTAATATCCAATATAAATAATATATTAAATGTATATTAGTGAAATGTAGATTTTATCTATGTAAATGGTACTTACACTTCTCTAGCAGTAGAAAAATAGAGTTTTTGGCTATGAAACTCAGGTGTCATGAATTTCTTCTGTTGTCATAAAGGATTTTATTTTTCTTATCCCTACTTCAAATGAAGTCATGTCAAGATTAGAGGTATAGGTTGAAGATGTTAGAAGTTGGAGGCTAGAAAAGTAAAGTTGAAAATTACAAGAGTTAAGACTATAAGATCTGGGGAAAAATATTTTTGTTTTGGTGGTTTTTAGCATTAAGGTTTAATGTATGAAATAGCTTCATATTGGGAAAATTTCCTTTATATAATACATAGGTAATTAAAGATAACTCTATCAAGCACCAAGCAAATATCTCACTATTCTAACACACCATAGTTCCTGAAATATGCTATAGGATTAAAAGGACAAGAATGGAAAAACAAAAACCACATGTACTTACCATTAAATTGGTACTAACTGATCAACACTAATATGTACATATGGGAAGTAACATTCATAGAGTATTTGTCAAGTGGGAGGGCAGAGGAGGAGATGGATAAATTCACACCTAACAGTTGCAGTGTTCACTGTCTCGGGGATGGACACACTTGTTGGGCAGTGCAATGGCAATTTATGTAACTAAAGCGTTTGTAACCCTGCAATATTCTGACATAAAAAAAAATAAATAAGTAATAAAAAAGAAACTTCTAAGTGAATTTAGAACACTTCTAAAAATTTAGTAGTCTAGAATGAATTAAAAATTAGCTTATCAACTTTTCATATATGATTACACATTCAACTATTCTGAAAGAGTAAATAGTTTTCTCTTATGAAAATACTAATGACACCACATTTGTATTATTTCTCTCTTTAAATAAACCTGGTTTTTACAGAGGCTGTCCATGTGTAGAAAATAGATAAAAAATAAAAAACAAAACATTCACAAACTCATTGCTAGAGGAAACTATTGCAAATATTTTATTTATCGAACTTTTTTGGTATGTATATAAACATTTGAATCATTTTAAATCTATGTGTAATATGTAAATGTATTATAGTTTCTTTAATCCTCATTGTTGGGCATTTACTCCATTAATCTTTAAGACTAATATATTAACTTCCTTTAAGATTAACAAAGAATTAAATTTTTTTCTATAAAGTTTTAAAAGAAATTAGCCTTCAAAATTTACAAAATTTTAAGATGCATTGTGCCCTTGGGCAACTAAGAAATTGCCAATGTATATTTTAACCACATGGTGAAAAAATGTTGCCTTAACTGTTCTTGCCAATTTCATAGCTATAGAGTAAAATTTATCCTTACTAACTGATAAAAATCAATTGAAGTTAGAAGACTTATAATCCCTAAGCAATCTGTGGTGTTCTAGATCCACACCACAAAATCTGTGAGGGTTGCCATTTCTCCACAGTGTTACTGCACTGTCTTTAAGCAAGAAGTAGAATTGGTTCTGATTCCCTGGTTGTAAAAAATTATATGGTGAGTGTCTTCTATACTGGTGGTATTTACATGTCACAGTGGCTGCTCGAGGTGAATGAATATACATAGCCTTGCTGTCTCTTATACAAGTCTTGCCAGTTGTGCTTTTCCATTCCCATCCCCATGTGGCTATTTATTCAGAATCTGCCTAATGTGATTAGAATAAAGTCATCACTAATTGTGAATTAAATTTGTTTTGGTGGAATTCTACAAAACCTTCCTTCTTACTCACATATCACGGGCTTTAAACAAAAGAAATTATTTCTTTCTCACTCTACATGTCCAATATGGATTGACTGGAGATTCTGGTCCATGTATTTCTCCCTCAGATTCCCAGCTGCAAGAGCAGCACTATCTAGAAAGTTGCCAGATGCTATATCAGAGGAAAAGCAAGAGCATGATGAATCATGTACTAGTTCCTGAAGCATACACCCAGTGACGTTTGTTCCATTTCATTTGTCAAAGCAAGTCATGGGGCCGTATGTAACTATAGAGAGCAGGATATTATAGTAAGGAGAGCCAAAAGTACTTGGTGATCAGCACTAATGACTACTTCAGTCCCCCTTCACTCTCCCAACACTCCACATGGAGGGTTAAGAGTGTGTGAAGGAAAGGGGAACTGATACTTAAAAGTATGCTATGACTTTATGTGAGAAGAATAACAAAGAATAACCCACTGAGATATCTATTATCTTTTAATCAATAAAATAGCAATATCAGTTTTTCAAGTCATTCAAAATATTCCATTATTTGGACAATAACTTGGAAGCTTTTGGAATCAGAAGGTGAACTTTGTTGACTATTAATTTTGAAGGGTTAATGTACAAATAACTTTCGTAAAGAAAATATGTGAAATTTGAACCTCGATGGCCCTCAGTCTGGTATAGGATATAGTGGACTTGGAGTTGTTTGTAACATTCTTCATGCCTGGAGCTATCCTTCGATAGCATAGACTATGATTCTGTTGCTCTAGAGGAAGATTTTCATCACTGGAGTAGCTGTAGCTTCTATACAAATAACCTTGACTTTGGGAAGGAAATTTTCCTGAATACTACATGGAAGAGGTAATTGTGCTAGCACTTTTAGTAGTTCATTCTCGTGATGTTTTCTAATCAGCCCACTGGGAAGTTGAAGTCCTTATTCTGATGGACCACTGTATGTACTTTAAATACTCTATGTACTTTAACACTGTTGACCAGTCTTACTGCCTTGGAATATTGCCTCCCTCTGGTTTCTATGATATCACTCTTTTCTCTTTTGCTGGCTACTCCTCAAGTTCTTTCATTTGCTTCTCTTCACCTCTCTGCCCTATCAATGTGGGCATTCTACCCACTTGCTTTTGCTTCCCTTTTCTTCCACAATTTCCTTCAAATCTTTTTCTTTCTCAGTTGTGCCAGGGTGACTGCTTTAATTCAGACATTCAAGTTGCTCACTGGAACCATAATTCATTTGCCTTTTTAGGTTCTTCATTTTGATTCTCTGTCTGTACTGGCTCTTTTTTTTTTAGCCACTTTCCTTTTTACATAGGACAAATGAAAACTACTTAATGTAATAGCCAATGATGTCAGCAAAGTAGCTAACTTTTATTATTTTAAGTCTAATTTCCTGTTCCTCTCATAAAAGGTATGTCTGCAATCACATAAATGCACCAGGTTCTTTTATGGCTTCAAGGAAACATCATGCAACAATGGAAAATCATAGGGTTTTGAGATTGAGTATACTCAGACTCAAATCCTGGATTTGACAATTATGAACCCTTTGACATTGTGCAAGTTACCTAATCTCTCTGAATATCTGTTTCTTCCTCTATTCAATGAGAATGATAGACATGATTCACATGATTATTTTGCATATTAGGCCTGGTACACATAAAGCACTTATCATAATAATGATTGTAGTACATTTTCATAAATGGTAGTTGTTATTATCATCATTGTTATTGTTATGTCTTTATATCTACATGTCTACATAGGCAATGTTGCTTAGACGTAACATTTCTAACCTTTTCTACATGGCAAACTTATATTCATACTTTAAAACTACATAGGTCACAATGCTTAACACCTTTAACTGTCCTTCTGGGAAAAATTGTTTTGCTCCTTATCCCCTTAATCAGTACAATATGAGTGATTCTTATATAGGGGATGTCAGTGACTAAATCAGACTAAAACCTCAAAATAGTCCATCTTCAGATCGGCTGGTGGCCAATCTGAAGTGAACTTGTGAAAAGTGTTCTTCTGTCCAATACTCTGGTACTCTCCAGGACCTGGACTAGAAAATATGGATAGGATTGACCACGAGTAGCAAATGTTCAAACTACAGTAAGGGGAGTGTCATGGAGCAGGAACATAAAGCAAAGCAAAATCCTTATGACAAGAGAGACTATGTGTCCCTTGGAAAAGGATAGAGAGGGTGATTAGTACCTGGGACATTTTTGGTTCCAGGCAATTTCCTAATTCTAATTCCAGTTAACATGCATCTGTGCAAAATAAACAAACAAACAAGCTCTCAGGGCTAGCACATACTGAGCGTCTGGTCACTGCAATTAACTTGAAGATGTGCCTCATATGTTACCTTTTAGAAGTCTTTCCTTACTCTCCCCATGAATAGCTTTTTTAGGATCCCAGAATATTTTGTACATATATCCTTTATAGAACATATTCTAGTAATCTATATTATTTGCTCCAACTAGTGAGAGTTTCTATTTTTCTTTATAATTCAAGCACATAATCCATTGTCTGACATTCAGTAGGTGATAAATGAGAACTGATTTATGAATAATAAATGAGTACATAAAATGAATTTTCACTTTTCATTCTCATAGTACTCAGAAAGTGCATCACTTAAAGGTTAAGTGATTTAAAAAGAGTGTACCTTTATTTTTAAATTAAGAGCAATTACTTAAGCTTCTTTTCAAAATAAATGGCATTAGTTCACCCTAATGAAAAAGAGAGGTAAAAAGAGGAAGGTACAGTCATAAAGCCATTTTTACCTTCTTCTTTAATCTGAAATTCATGTAAGGCATTATGTAATGCATTCCTACTACCTGGCTTATGAAAATAGAGAATTGTGAACTATACTGAAGTAAGAGCAAAACCTTGGTTAAGTGAATTATACAATTTAACTCTGCATCCTAACACTCCATGAATTGATAGGGTCTGTTGTGTAATTAGTTTACAAAAGCAAGAGCATTGGAGTTATTTATGACAGATGTTCACCTAACTTAAAACAGGAAGAGTATATTTACTTCCATGTAGTTATTACAATGTAATTAAAGCCATAAAACCATATTATCTGACTTTCAAAGATGGGCTTGGTTTTATTCTCTCACTTAGCCCTATTGATTTGCAGTACTCTTCAGTGACCAGGCAAGGATCATAGATAAGGGCTGTAGATTGGCCACTGTGGACTTGCCAGGTATTTTGTTTATTCTTTTGCTCCATTTTTTTCAATACAGTGATGCAGATAGCCCTCTGAAAAATTGTATATTTGTTGGCAAAAACAAACCTAGGATATGGCTGATGAAAAAAGTCATTTTAGTTAATTTCCTTCCTCAGTGTTTCATAGTTCTTCCTGTAGAAGTCTTTCACCTCCTTAGTTAAATATATTCCTAAGTATTTTATTTTCTTTGATGCTATTGTGAAGGGTATTGAGTCTTTGATTTGATTCTAAAGCCTCTGCACAGCCAAGGAAACTAT